ATTTTTAACTTAAAGGAATGCTCTCTTTGCATGCTCCCATGTTTCCTCAGAAGAAAATTGATACCTCATAAGAGCCAGAATGTTAAAGTGCCAGGTCAGGGATTCAGACATTCAGAATTTTAACATTTAAGTTGAATCACAAGAGTACAGAAATAAAGGCCATCTAAAAGAAATACCCTTTATTATTTTGATGCCTACTTCTGAAAGCTTTATTGTTCAATTCCTGGCTACCCAAGCAAGTCAAAAGAATTATAAAGCAGATAGAATCAACTACACATAAAATCTATGTTATACTGGAGAATTCACTGAGATAGGGAAACTCAAGAACGCATTTTTTTTGTTTTATATCAATTTGCAATAAGCTTTTCATGAAAGAATAGCCATTAATCTTCAATAATGCAATTCTAAACTATCTCAAAAATAAAATGGGCAGGAAGGTCCACAAAACAAGACGTATTAATGAAGAAAATCTCCTTGAACTATAATTTTTATGCCACTACTAATGCTTGTATCTATGGTAACCTGGCAGTACTTGCCTTTTGGTTTTGATGTCTTCAAAATCACTCTTATAACTTCTGGAACATCAAAATAGGCAGCATAGTGCAGAGCATTCATATTTGTCCAGCGACTCCGCAAACTGACATCTGCTCCTAGATCAATAAGGTGAGCTGCAAACTTCACAGCTGTCTCAACATCACCTAAAGAAAATGTCCTAAATTATTTTTCTTTAGTACAAATTTCAAGTACCATTGGATGGTCATCTACTATTTCATTTAAAAAGCTAAAGCAAACCTCATACTGAATATACATTCATACCTCAAAAATGTCATTTTCAGTAATGTATATTAAAGAAATAATCATACGCAGGAATATGAACAAACACTATTCAGTAAAGATGTTTCTAACTGTACTATTATGAATAAAATTCTGAAACCTAAAATACAATAAAAACTAGTTAAATTGAAATAGTCACATCTTGGGATACTGTACTACAAGCCATTAAAAACAACATGTTACATTGGCCAAGCAATGGCCATGACTCATCCATATGGCTGACACTGACAAAGGTTCTACAATCTGAGGTACAGGATCTCAGGATAAATCCTGAGAGGATTTCACTAACCTTATCAGACCCAAAAGCTACAACTCTTGTTGCATAGGTCCTGCTTTACCTTGGTCTTAACCATCCAGCACAAAAGTATAAAAACGAAGTACAAGAAGTAAAG